CTAGTTAGTGGATGCAAGGAGAGGAGAGGATAGGGGCACAGAGAGGGAAGGCCTAGTGGGGCAAGCGAAGGAGAGAAGGCCTAGGGGACATTGCAGGAGAGGAAGACCTGAGGGAGCATGACGCAGGTGAGGAGAGACCTGGGAGGGGCAGAGAAGGGCTAGGAGGCGGCAGAAGAGCAGGCAGAGGGGCAAGGGGAGAGGGCCTGGGTTGCCCAGGGCAGAAGAGGGAGAGGCCTGGGAGGGCAGAGACGACAGAAAGGACCTGGGACGCATTACGCAGAGAGAAGGACCTGGGAGGTGCATACGCGGAGAGGAGAGGACCTGGGAGGGGCAGAGAGGAAGGCCTATCGGAGGCGGGCAGGAGCAGGAGAGGCCCTTAGGAGGGGCAGGAGGGAGAGGGCCGGGAGGGGAGGAGGAGGAGAGGGCCTAGGAGGGGCAGGAGAGGAGAGGCTAGGAGGGTCAGGAGAGGGAGAGAGCCTGGGACGGGGCAGAAGGAGAGAGTGCCTGGGAGGGGGCAGGAGATAGAGGCGCCTGGGGGGCAGTAGAGGAGAGGCCTGGGAGGGGCAGAGAGGGAGAGGGCCTGGATGGGCAGGAGATGAGAGGCCTGGGAGGGGCAGGAGCAGGAGAGGGCCTCGGAAGGGGCAGGAAGAGCGAAACGGCCTGGGAGGGGGCAGGATCAGGAGAGGAAGGGCCTGGGAGGGGGCCGAGGAAGGAGAAGAAGGGAGAAAGTTTCCCTAGCACAAGTGACCCATTGCGTCCTCTACATAGTCTAAGCTACGCTCTCTGTTGTGTCTGTTTGTGTGTGCGTGTTGTGGGGGCAGCGGTCACCTACATCACGGTCACTAGGTTGCAGATGTTGGTACTCGCCTCTCACCTGCGGCCTACATGTCTAATAGGTTGACTGCATTCCTCTCTAAATAGACAACAGGGAGTTTTCGTGGACGCTGCGAAATATGAATGATAGCCGTTATGGTCGAGCGACAGAGCACATCTTAAGCTGAGTTGGACGCCTCATCTGCCATTGACCTAAAAAAATCGGCTCGTCGAACCGGCTTAAGCGAGAGATCATCTAGGTCCGTCCAGCCTCCTTCACGCGATTCGTGGACGTTCGCTCATATGATGCGTGAGCGTGATTGCGGCGGCGGATCGCTGAGTCCAGCGTATACGTGCGTACGGCGGAGCGGGGAGTGGCCTACATAGCGCACGAATCATGCACACCGCTGCTCTTCACAGGGCATTACATCAGCGGCTCCTGCCAGCGCGTGAGCGTAAGTATTGAAGTATATCGTACGTAGACTAAATGTATTATGCGTATCTCTCTCCCTACCGGTCGCTCTCTCTCTCTCTCTCCCACCCTCCCCCTCACCCCCTCTCTCTATAATCTATCTATCGTATTATCTATCCTATATATCTATCTCCCTTTCTCTCGCAACCACCCACCCTCTAACCTCTTCTTTCATACTCTTTCTGTCTTCACAACCCTCTTCTCACCACACGCAGCACACCACAAACAAACGCACGCACGGGCGCACACACACACACACACGCAACGCACACACACACGCGCGCGCACCACACACCACACCACACACACATACGCACACGCGCACGATACCATACGCACCAACACACAGCGCATACGCAAACACACGCAACACACGCCACACGCTACACGACACACGCGTGCGCAGCGCACACACTACACACACATCACGCCTACGCACGCACACACACACATGGGCATACATTCATTCGTTCATTCACTCTTCTCTCTCTCTCTCTCTCATCTCTCTCTCCTCTCTATCGCGCCTGCGCGCGCGACACTCCTGTAACTCCTTCCATCAAGCTATAACGCTTCTCCTTCTACCTCATCTCAAACTCCAAGTGTTTTATCTAAGCGTGTTACTTCATACTCCAATACCTCTCCAGCTTTAAGAGAGGTTCAATTAATAAAGACTAAATATAAGGCTAAATATAAAATATCGAACATGTAAAAATATATTAGCAGCCACTGCAGTTAATGGCACGCTCCGTATTAATTTAATAGTTACTCCGTCAGCATCTGCCGGGTACGGAATTTAAGTAGTGGCAGTCCCGGGACGCACATCAATCAGTCTCATGGCGTTACATACCCCATACCCGCCATGATGGTAGATGAAGAATGAAATGAAACAAATTAAATAAATAAAATATTATATCTATATATCTCCTCTCTCTCTAATATATATATATATATATATGGGCATGTGTGTGTGAGTGTGATGGCTGTGTGTGGTGTGTGTGTGTGTGTGGTCGTGTGATGTGGTGTCTGTGTGTGTATGATGGTAAATGCGGTATATATTATATATATATATATATAATATATATATATATATAATATATACTATATATATGATAAGGCTATTAATATACATTATTTCGTATGGGAAATCTGAATTATATGGCAATAGGAGGTGCAACCGCCTAAGCTCAACCCTTTAACACACAGGTGTCCGGAGACATCTACTCTCGAGCCACTGCCCAGCAAACCCGATATTAGCACAAACGAGCTGGTCACATAAACATCTGCGAGATAAAACTATCGCCTAATGAGCGATCATTAGCGATAGGTTCTATACATCAGTAGATTCGATACTCATCATGCATGAATTCATTGCAGATAGTTGTGGGCGACGTAATAGCGCTAAGGTACAGTCATAAAGGTATATGCAGAACCAAGCATGAAAGAAAAATTGACACTTTAAAAGCCGCAACATGCTTCTTAACTCTTGAGAACATCGGTCTTCGCCCACAAACCTAGAAAAGAACATGCTAGCCAGAAATAGGACAATCAAACCAACAACAATATCAAAGAAAGGTTCAGTTTCTCCCTGAATATGCTTAAAGGGGTGATGAAAAGCCACGCCATTTTCTCTCACGCTCTATTATAGGAGATATAATAAAAGAGAGGGGACGCTTGTTTTCGGTACGCGGGGTTGGACCACTGTATAGTTATCTGGAAACCGGGAAATACCGCATAATTTTTCGTAATTCGTGAATAGAAGGCAACCGATACGCGGGAAAGCCTTGAATTGCGATATTCGTAAACTGGAAACTGGGAAATGACATTCATTTACCTGCGAAATTGAGAATGGTCCCCGCTAATAACCATAACATACATCGATGTCATCGATGGCCTTTACGAACACTTTCAGTATGACCACGACGTTTGAGGATGTTGTCGCTGCGAGAGGAAGAATCTCAAAGTACGCCCAGACCACGCCCGTGTTCACGAGCAGCACCGTGGACGCCATGACAGGCCAGCAAGTCTTCTTTAAGGCTGAAAACCTCCAAACTACAGGGTCTTTCAAAGTTAGGGGCGCATTATACGCGGTGGGTGCACGTGAATTAAACACGTTTTTATTTAGTAATTGTATTATTACTGCTATAATATAAATAGTTATTGTAATAGTAATAGTAATAGTAATAGTAATAGTAATAGTAATAGTAATAGTAATAGTAATAGTAATAGTAATAATAATAGTAATAGTAATAATAATAGTAATAGTAGTTACTTTAATATATTTTAATATAGTTTAGTCGAAAAAGAGTCCTTGCAGCCAATGCTGAGTGCGCGCGCCTCTCACAAAGAACATGTGTTTAAATAATGTGCTAATCATAATAATTACTTGATACATTTTTGATACCCCAAAAGAGCACTCTGCATATGTATACCCTGCACTACATTTCGGTAGTGTGCGCGCGAATGTGTGCAATTCATTCAGCAGGCTAGCTATAGTTCAACACTTTTTTACACCGTTACAGATCTCAAAGCTGATGGAGAACAACCCGGATGTTCCAGGAGTGGTAAGAACGTGTTCCGGCTATTGATACTCTAACGGTTTCTATCATCCAAAAGAATTCGCGACGATGAGAGGCTGTATGTACGTACAGGGGCGGCGCCAGGGTATTTTGATAGGGGGCGCGACGGCGCGCAAGCGCTTGCTCGACGCAGGGGGTGTTTTCCCTTCAGAAATTGGAATTTTTTGAAAAATGCAGCAGAAATGGTGCGATTTGGTGCATACTTTTAAGCAAATTTCCCGACCAACTGTTAATGTTCAACTTATGTTAACTGTAATATATATATATATATATATATATATATATATATAAGGCCTATTATATACATTATTGTATGGGAAATCGATTAGTATTGGCAATAGGCATGGTGCAGCCGGCCTAAGCTCAACCCCCTTAACACGGTGTCCGGAGGACATCTACGCTCGGGCCACTGGCCCCAGCAATACCCGATATTAGCACAACGAGCTGGTCACATAAACATCTGCGATGATGAAACTATCGCTAATGAGGATCATTAGCGATAGTTTCATCATCGCAGATTCTGATACTCATTGCAGATAGTTGTGGGCGACGTAATAGCGCTAAGGTACAGTCATATCAGTCAGGTATTTCAGTCGCCCGATAAAATCGCCTAGTGTGTCCGGGCCGGCGATTTAGTCGAATTTGTACAATTCATCAGCCAATCAGAGAGTTGTTCAATGATACTGACGTAATAGCGATGTTTCATGTTTAGTATGTCATGTCATGTAATAGCGATGCACACACGCACGCACGCACGCAGGCACGCATGCACGCACGTGTACGTGCACACACACGCAGGCACGTACGCACGCACGCATGCACGCAGGTGAACGTGCACACGCACGCACACACGTATATGGGCATACGCACGCTCGCACGCACGTATACGTGCACACGCACGCACTCACGTGTACCTGCACACACACGCACGCATGCACGCACGCGCGCACGTGTACGTGCACACGCACGTACGCACGCATGTACGCACGTGTAAGTGCACACGCACGCACGCACGCACGCACGCACGAACGCACGTGTACTTGCACACGCACGCACGCACGCGCGCACGTGTACGTGCACACGCACGCACGCATGCACGCACGTTTACAT